ACACGGGGAAACAAAAGGTACGGGCAGTCTTAAACACGCATGGTCCCATTCATTTCTATCGATTAGGAAAATCATTGAAAAACGGGTGCAATACGAAAAACACGCGGAACAACTAACCGAATATCTATCTCACCAAATTGCACCTAAGGGCCTCCGCCTAGCCTGCAACCCTTCAATGTCTACACTAAGTGAAGCAGAAAGGGGGAAGTGGGAAAAAATAGTACTAGAAGCGTCCTTGCAACTGACTTGGGTCTTTGCGGACCATAGTGAGCGTAAGGCCGCCGAATACAGTGTCACGGAGGCCACGCAGAAATTGGTATCTAATCTCGGAGAGCATGAGGCAAGAGAACTGGAAAGATATGCACTAAAAAAGAGAGGCGAAATTTCAGTAGTAAAAGATAGAAATTCAATCGGGACTGCAAAAAGCTCCACTGCTCATCGACAGGACAATAGGAATGAGGCCGTACAAGAACGCCAGGGACCACGCGTACCACAACCTAACTTTGAGGAGAAAAATGGGAACTCGAAACTACAGTGTTAATCCTAATCAAAACAGCCTTACTCTCGAATATGACGCTGACACTCCCGTGCCACGTGATAGCCAAGAGCAGCCAAAAACTTATGAGAAAAATGTCCTCAATCTGTCCAACACAACGCTCACACCCGCTCAGCTTACAACTTTTGTCGAGAGGCTTAACCTTTTGTCCATCATCCGGTAGATTCAATGAATTTGAACTGTACCAAGACCTCGATAACTTTGCGCGTAATCTCCGCCTCTGTGAATACTTTCATGATCGCAAGTACTGTACGGACGAGAATAGATTGATTGATGGTGACAAATCATGGTGTCCAGGTGAGCATAGGGACAAACACCTCGATATGTATATATCAGCAGTTCAAAAAGATATCATCAGAGCGTATGAAAAAAATCGGCCATCTCGAAACAACATATCAAAGTCAGAACGAAGGGCACTCGATGAACTACGAAAAAACGCTGAAATTACCATCAAACCGGCTGATAAAGGGGGCTGCATAGTAATTCTAAACACGTCGGACTACTTAAAGGAAGGGGAGCGACAACTATCAGACACAAAATTATACAAAGAACTTCCAACGGACCCGACTCCCGAATTTGAAAGAGAGATAAAAGTAACCCTAAGTAATCTCCGCCGGGACGAGAAAATTACCGGCAAAATGTTAAAAGATGTTATCGGCCCATTCTGTTCCCGGTCAATTCTATTTGCTCCCCAAAATACACAAGGCAGGCAATCCGGGACGTCCGATAGTATCCAGTAACAGCACATCAACAGAAAATATATCAGAATTCATCGATTCCTTAATAAAAAACATCCCCCCAAATTTTCCCTATTACCTAAAAAACACAAACCACTTCATCTGTGAAACTTGAAGTCTCGACATCCCAGTCGGTAGTTTTCTGGTGACCATGGACGTCTGTTCACTGTACACCAACATACCCACCATGACGGAATAGCGGCTATGGTTTCTGAATATGTAAAATCTGACTCATCAACTGGTGTAAGTGGCGAGGTACTGTTAACACTTCTTGAACTTGTACTAAATTATAATCATTTTGAGTTCAATGGCAAGCATTTCCTTCAGGTCAGTGGCACTGCAATGGGCACGAAAACGCCCCCAAACTTCGCGAGCACCTTTATGGCTTCACTTGAAATCCCGTTCATCGAGGGACGCACCTTGAAACCTTTCTACTAGAGAAGATACTTAGGAGGAGGAGGAAACTTTATTAGAACTTGGCCGGCAGCTTGGTCTTGGTGGCCTCAGATGGCGGCGCTGAGTCCCTGAACTCGGGCGGCATCTTCGGCCTGCCGGACAGCCCAGAGCTGGTTAGACGATATTTTTTTATGATATGGAACCACGATGAAGGAAGTCTTTTCCGCTTCATAGAGGATTTTAACAAGTGCCATCCGTCAATTAAATTCACGCACAAAATTTCCAAAACTAGCATTAACTTTTTGGACGTCACTGTCACGGTCAAAAATGACCGCTTGTCAACAAACCTTTACAAAAGGCCTACTGCAGACCGTCAAATGCACCTACATTTCAACAGCATCCACCCAAAGCATTGCAAAACTGGTATTCCATATTCTCAGGCCTACTAGTACCGAAGAATATGCACCGATATGCGGGAATTTTACAGACACGCAGAACACCTTAAGCATTCCTTATTGAAACAAAATTATCCGGAAGACATTATTGACGATGCCATACTACGTGCTCGCAACGTGAACAGCAATGATATAATTAAGGGACCAAACAGAGTATCTAAAACGACTTCCCAAACGAACCTTGTACTAACTTACTCCTCATCAGCGCCACGAATCAACAACATACTATCCCGCCATTTCAACATAATCAGGCAAAGCAAACGACTAACTTCTATCTTCGCGAAGCCACCTCACGTGGTGTACCGCAGGGATAAAAATCTGAAGGACATTCTTGTCAGAGCAAAAACAACCCCCCCCCCCACACACACAGACACACAGATGGTCACAACACGCGAATCCAAAGCGAACTTCTCGTATTTCAAATTCTGCATAACTGAAAGCCTTAATTGTGACTCCAGTAACGTAATATACATGCTACATTGCAACATCTGTGGACAAGAATATATCGGCCAAACAGACACGCCATTTCGGCTGCGGTTCAATAATCACCGGTACCACGCCACTTCACTGCCGAAGCTACCTTTATCTAGACATCTGCGCCTGCCAAACCACAGTTTTCAAAATATCAGCGTAACTGTTTAGCAGTCCGGTTTTTCAAACAGGCGCGAGCGCGAACAGCGTGAGGCATATTTTATTTTCAAATTTAGAACACTAGTAGCCGGCATCAACGAGGACCCCGGAAGACTCTCCTGCCTCCGAGAAGTAAGTCAGGAGGAAATTGGTGACAAAGATTGATAGCTGGAGACCATGCTTGTTTTTTCTGACTGACTCGTACGTGTACACTGTCCTTTCTTGTTTTTTTTTTTCCTCTTTTTTTGCATGCACATACAAAGTGTTTATGTTCGCCTACCACTTGATGACCATTGAAGGGAAACGGACGAAGATGAAAGGTAAAGAGCCTACCAACCCAATAAGGGGAAGCCCTTTCCTTACGCACGCCGTCCCGGACCCTTCCGCCACCGCGGCGGCAATCTTGGGTGGCCCGACACACGTCGAGAACTGACCAGCACGGGATAAGAACCGCATGTGGACGTACACCGACATTTGGTTTCGTGCTCAGTGTTCACAGTGGTTCTTTCTCTTTTTTCTTTTTTTCTTCTCATTTTTTTCTTTCTTTTTTTTAGTCCTCTCTCACTCTCGCAAACATCTTTCAAGGCGAGAGAACGCGGCAGCAACGAAGTCTGGAAGTTCATGTTAGTATAACTCATCCCCTGACGAAGGGAGGACCCCTCCCGAAACCGTTGGGAAATAAATATATTTCTCCTTGTTGACAACGCTCCCGTTGTGCCATATCCCATACCTTCACAAAGACTAACTGGCCCATTGAATTATTACTCCCACTATATATATATATATATATATATATATATATATATATATATATATATATATATATATATATATATATATATATATATAAGGGAAATAAGTGTATACCTAAGGGCTCGTTTTTCAGTGTTTTGACACAATATTAATGAGATATAACAGACAGTAATGCCAAGGAATGTACAGGGAAAGTTATTAGAATCAATGGAATGTAAATAAGAAGAAAGAAAAGTGGGTGAAAAAATAACCAGCCGTGAGCAGAATTCGAACCTACGACCTTCGAATAACGCGTTCGATGCTCTCTCTCTCTCTATATATATATATATATATATCACGCGAAGGTATAGTTACTACAGCAGTGTCACACGAATTAAAACCGATCTTCGCCTACAATCCTTAGCAATGCTCCGTGACATAGCTCTACTAACATTATTCCTAGAGAATGCCCACTGTAACAGGTCATATTCCTTTCATATCGCTGTCCCATTCCGAACATCCAGATCACATAATAATTTGAGTTTTACATGCATATATATTGGTCTTACACTAACATTAAACTCATCCGCACTCTCACGAGCCATTACATTTTGAAATAACCTGCCAGACAACATGACTTCATTGTCCAACCCCGACACATTCCACCACCAACTATAATTGCTCATTTCCACTGAAGTCGTTCATCGTCCATTCATAAAAAACAATTTTTCTATACATGTGTATGTATATATGTATTGTACCAATATATCATGTGTTTATTCACTATGTATTATGCAATATATGTTGTGTACGAAGTGTTCAATCTAATTGTTGTGTTGTTTGCTGGTGTTTGATTCCTTTGCATTTTTTTTTTTGCTCATCGATGTTATTTTAGAACCCCCTTACACAATGTCCAACAGGCCTGTAAGGAACGCAATATAACAGGGCATGCGCAATATAACGTGCTAGAGGAGTAAAATAACAGCCAGCCGTCACAAAATGCTACGAGTGTAACCAGGTGCCTCACAACATGAATTGCATTAAGAGTGGGTTGTTGAATGCTCCCTGCCACTACAAAGGGCTCAGCCATAATTCCTTATCATCAGCAACTGAATTAACGGAGGGCATACCTTGCAAGCAAGCTCGTATTAATAGTCCCCCAATAATGATTGTAATGGGTTTTAGAAATGGCACTCTTGCAGCTTTCACTGTGACTATGTTGCACTTTCCACACAGGCCTAGCATTCTTTTTTTTTAAGGGGGGGAGGGGTGGACAGTTGCTAAAAGCCCAGAGTTCGTGGCTACCTGCTGTTGTCATGTGTGTGTGATGCACTTTTTGAAGTGGGACCTCATACATTCCTATAGGTAATGGCATCTGGTAACCCAATGTAATACAGACACATAGCTCAAACAACTCCAGAATACATGCGCCCATAGCTATATCTTCTCAATGGTGCACTTGGGACATGAGAAAAAGCAAAATGCAAATTGAAATAAACTTTTTGCAACTATTTATTTTATTATTCAACCGAAATGATGCAAAATGCAAAAACAAAATGCTCAATACAACTATAAAAAAACGTGCGATAATTTTTATAAGAATGATATTTATCAAAACATCATCCCCCAAAAACACAGCTGCATAACTGAAACAGGCATCCTCAACAGTACATCACAACAAATGATCACTTCTCAGTTTGAACATGTGACAAAATATTTGAAGTTCTACCTATGCCTAAATAGTGAAAGGGAAAAATTTTGCTGCAACCCAATGCACCCAAGCATTTATTGTAGAAGATAGTAGGACACCCATAGCAATCTAATGTTGCAGGAACAGAATTAAAATGCCATTGTGAGGCTGCCACAACCAAAGACAACAGCTTTTGTAACAAAGCTTTTTTAAGTGGGATGTTAGCCTATGGTCTTCTTATCATAGGCACTATAAATTAAACTGTGCTTACACATTTAAACAGTAAAGCTACAACAATGCAGCAAAAAACAACACAGAGTGTAAGCAGCATCTGAATGGTACGGCAAAACAAAGCGTTGAGAATTTCATCTCACAGCATTAAAACTATGGAATGACAATAAATACGGTGAGACACAATGACACGATGATTCACTCAATAGAACTTTGGTTAGGTTCAACTGGTTGCAAAGCACCATAAAAATAGCCTTTCATGAATGAAGGTGATACAAGAAGAAGAAAAGAAGTTTGAGAAGACTAGGCTCGTGCCGAATGACTGATCTTGCATCTGGCTGATGCATATACCACGGTGCTCATATATCATGCTGAATCTCAAGTGTGCATATATGTGCTTCACTAACATAATTGAAACCTTGAAACAGCAAATGTAACAGAAGCAATGAGGGCGACGAGAACAGCCTGAACGTGCCCGGAAATCTAACAGCTTTCAATGGCAATGAGCATGAATCAAGCAATGAGTCTCTAGCTCAAAACCTCACTCTTAACGTTCCAACACAAACACTCTTTAGTTAACACTTTGTCACTTAGACTAATACAATGAATGTTTTAGAGCATAAGTTTGTGTTCATTGTGTAGCTCAACAGTATGAGGACCACACTTTAGAGCTATTACTAATGTTATCTTGTTGACCTAATCATAAGTTGGTAAGTGAGGCCTTTCTGTTACACACGAAAATAATTTTATACAGTAAGGACAATGCAGGAACATGGTTAAATTGAAACAACAATGATATCTCCATGAGCAGGTTCCTTACCGTTATTCTTTTTTTCTGTATGAACACGTCAACGCACTTCAATACGTGCTATTCAGGAACTAAGTGCAAGCGAATGGCAAGCAATCACTTGTCTTTGGCACAATGAATTAAACACTGACAAGCACAGAGAAAAAAACCCTTGCACAACCCAACGGTATCATCCACTACCATCCTTCAAATTCTAGAAAAAGATGAAGTTCTATACTAACAAGGCACATGAGTATGCATCACAGATGTGGGAACATTCTTGTCACCAGGGTTAGACTTGAAACTTTCACTCACAGGGCAGTCAATCACTAACATGATTTCTTACAAAGGCACTCTCAGAACACTTATGCTTTCAATAAACAAAATGAAATCCACACAATATAATCACTAAAAAAATGAAAGCAAGAGACAGTCAACAGTTCAATGAGATGAACTTATGAAAATAATCATAAAGATGACTTGTGTGCAAGTTGATAAAAATGCAATATAAAATAAGCATGAACAAAATTTAGAAATAAACTAAGCTCTAGGGTTCACATTTTCAGCTTCCGGATCCTCTGCCATTACAGCGTACTCGTTCTGACGCTTGCGCCAGAAATACACTACCACGGCGAGAGGCAGGACCAAAAACAGGAGACCGACTACAAATGAAAGCCCTGCGAAGAATCCCTTCGACAAACCAAACAGCCGCTCAAACATGACACGCCCCAGGAGAGGAGCGAGGGCTTCGCAGGCTGCCATTACCGAAAACAGCCTTCCGTACTCGGCATCCGGAAGAAGCCTTGAAACATGGGAACGTATACAAGCGGGCGCAATGTTGCTCAGCATTCCAAAACCGTAGCCTAGAAAGAAGAGGGGACTTCCTGCAGCCCCGGACGATGCGTGGAGGATGTTTTTCACACCAACACCCGCGATCCCAACCACGGCGAGACCGTACTCTTGGTTTGGAAGCCAACGCAGGAACAGCACTAGAAGTGGAATCAAAATGAGAACGCTAGCCAGTGAGAACGCCGACGTGATCACCATATATTGTGAGAAAGTCCAGTTGAACTGCTTCTTTGCGTAGAAGTAACCCATGAAAGAGGTTTGGCTGTTCAGGACAAGGAGAAACACGGAGAGAACGAGCAGCGGAATCCTAAAGCGGTCGATGTCGTAGTGACGACCAAGGACAGTGCGGACGCTGCCCACCAGGTGCCTCGTACTGAAGAGATGTCTGGCTAGCTTGTAAGGTCTCGCGCCAGACGACAGTGCCCCCGACGAGGACTCTACGGGGGCTGGGACATTTCCAGGATCTTCAGCAATGCAGGGAGCCGTATCCCTGACTAAAAGCACTGCACAGAGAAATGACAGGGCAAGGATGCCTAGCGAGAAGCCCATTAGAGGAACGAACCTACCCGACTTGACAAATGCAAGGGAAGTGATTAGCTGACCAATCGGCAGTGCAATGACAAAGGCGATCTGCAGTGTGAAGAACCTCATAGTCCTCTGTTTCCTCGAAGATGACAGGGCCGTAATCGTATAGGACGACATAAGAATCGCTGGAAGGCCACCGGACAAACCTTCGGGAATTGCGGAGAGTATGTTGAAGTAAATAGATGCATCTTCGTAGACTGCAGTCACCAGTTCTCCGGAAATCTTGAGCATGCTGCCAACAAGAGAAACATACACCGGGATTTTGAACCTACCAGACTCGTCGCACCAACTTGCAACGACGAGAGTGATCAGTGCTCCAGGCAAAAACCCAACAAGTGACTGATATATAACATACAGAGTAGCAACGTTTCGAACCTTGGCGTGTTCTTTTGAATTCTCCGTCAAGTTTCCACAGAATTCTTTAGTCTCGTTAAGAACCTGATAACAAGCCTTAAGTTCAAGTAGATTGGCCGTTGTGGCATACTGCATGGTGTAGGCAAGGGTGAAGAGAAAAAAGAACGCTTCGAGCCGCAGCGTCACAACAAAGTCCAAACATTTGCGGCAACAACTGCGGCTGTCTTCATTTTCCAAGCCCTCCGAGGCCGGAGAACTCCCGTCAGCTAACGCATTTAGGTTGCGGAATGTGCCATGCAGCCCAGACGGCATGAAAAACTCTCTCAGCCGTCGCCTGTAGCGCTGAGCCCGTCTTCGCCATGTGTGCTCCAAGTAGTCTTCGACAAAGTCACCAGCGACACTCGGCAAACCTCCTTCCATGCCGTCTACTCAGCTGCGGCAAGTTAGAGAGAGACAAAGGGGAACCTGATGAGGATGAGTTCTGAAACAAAGATGGAGAGGTATATCGCTCAATCACTATCACTTGCAGATTACAGGAAGACGCACAGACTAGATGGGTAGACAGCATACAAATAAAAGGCACCTGAATTAAGTAGGGACGAGAGACTATATATATATATATAGTATTCTTGGGAAACTGTGGACACCTTGAGTCTCATCGCCTGTGCATAACTGTTCATAGACAAATCATAAAAATATTATGATTATTGTGCACTTCCATAACAGTAAACAGCTTATGAGTACCCAAACATTGCACTTAATGATATAGGCATTTATATCAACATTCTTTGCGAGCAGCAATAAAACAAAATGAGTTATGCATGCCACTATGCAAGAGTATGTGAATGGCAGTGTAAATATGAGGCATTCTCATAAGGATTGTGCATGATATCGTTGCTTTGGGAGTCCAAACACGAATACTTATGTACGGTATCCGAGTTTCTTATTACAAAATGTGAAATCAGCAAAATACTATTGCATATATTAAAGGGACCCTGAAGCGGTTTTCACAATATTGAACAAACACAATGGGCTGGTAGGCCAAATCCTAGGGGTCATTAACAAACAAAGGTGCGCTCTCTGCATAAAATTAATTACAATGCTTTAAAGCTGTGAATCGCTGCAACTCCGCCAAACGACGTATTCAAACACCCACTCACGAAACGACATGCTCTGGTAATGCCATGTCACCGAGGCTGCTGATAAATGGCTGTAGAATGCACGGAAGTGAGATTGGCAGGTAGGGTGACGGCACTTGTCGGGGTAGATATGAACCACACCACCATCTTCTTCTCTGTTGGCAGACGGTGTACGTGCTGCCGGGCACACTGTGTGATGGTCTCGACACCGTGTGCAACTTGTCGGTGTGCGACCTCTGGGGTCAGATCGTTGAGTGCACTCATGAGAGCTCTGCAATCGCCAGCAATGCCAGCCTGTCTAGCAAGCCGAGGAGACAAGGCAGAGGTGAGAAGGAGGGTATGATATAATTGTTTGTAGCAGCCTTCGTATATGGCGTGTCGCTAAACCTGAGGTGCAAATGGTTTGACGACCCTCTAGCCCGAACGCTGACAAAACTTCAAAAAACCGTTTCAGGGTACCTTAAAGAAGACTGAAATGCATTGACTAGATTGGGTAGAGGGCCGGCACCTGGTGAACAAGAGGCACCTGAAACAAACTAGGCCTAGTGACAGTATAGTACTCTGGAGAAACTGTGGACACCTCGAGTCTCATCAGCTCTAAGTAACGATTTGTGACATTACAAAAATATAACAATTTTGAACTTTCACAACAGCAAACAGTAAACTACCAGGCAAACATTACACACAATATCATGTACCACTCTGCACAAATGTCACCGATAATACTTCTTGCAAGTGAACTAACACTCGCAAAAGTAGCAACTTTCGCCAGTGTCCGTTTACTTGCAAGAAATGTATGCCCCTCGCCAGACGGTGCTCCGTCACGCTCTGGACTTCACTGATGTTACGTGGCACATCAGTTCTTGAGGTTTCTTGTATACGACGTTGGCGCAGCGGTGGCGTTTGGCCTGTGACATGCCACGAGCTCACATACTGTTGTTCAGCAAGTGATGAACCACATCAATGCTTCTCGAGTACATGCGTTTCATTCGGCTTAGGTCCTGCTTGTTCTTCTGCACTTGTTTTCGCATGTTTGCAATTTCACGGTCCATCGCCTGCATGGTGGCCTCAAAAACGTAGGGAAATCCTTGAGTTAACTGCACGATGTCTTTACGTTTCAGACAGCCAGAGCGTTGCTGATACCGATCCTTCTTTGTGGTCGTCAGTGCTTTTTCTGGATCCCGCTGAAAACTGCCGTTCTTCTCAGAGTCGCCGCCAACGCGCTCCAAGATGCGGCCGCAGTAGGTGCCTCCTTTTCTGATGCGAGTGCCCTGCGTTTTTCCACTTTCGGAGAGCCAACTATCACGAGGGGTTGTGGCGGGACGCAGCACCCGATGATCGAGCAGGCTCGTGTACGTTCGCGTCTGCTTCCAGAGGTAGTAGTGCTTCACTAGGCTTGCAATGGTCTTTTTCGGGAACATGCGTTGTATCACGCGAAAGTTCTTGCTGTGAACAACCAACGCGTTCTCGAAACGCGCATCGTCCTCCGCCGTCCACTTGTCCACGACAGGTACAAAGTTTCCGAGCTCGGAGGCCGCTTTATCGAGGTCGTGACCGTGCCACTGAAGCACTCCCAGGGCCTGCTCTTCGTTGTAGCCATACAGTTCGGCCGCAAAGCTAGCGTAATCGTTCAGCTCACTGTCCGAAATACCGCCTCTGGGAGACCACACTTGAACTGCCCTGTCAGGCGTAGAGTCGGCGGGCGGCAGATCCGATGGCACATTACGGGGAACCCGGACCTGGTACTTACTGCCGATGTGAACGCTACGTCCTTTCTCCAATTGTTTCGTCGGTGACCCCCTCTTGTACGCACAGGCACCTGTCGTATTCGTTGCTTGGAAGCGGCGGGCATCCCTCAGCTTGTAACGCGTCCCGACCGGCACCATGTTCCACGTCGAAACGCAATGGCGTTTGCTGGGTTAGTGGGAAGAGATGAGAAACTCCTGTGACCGATAAATTGCGTCTGGGCGAGATCGCTGAACGACATATGCGGCGGCAAAATTCACTCAACTCTTACCTCAACGTGAACCAACGGATCGACGACTGCGCGTCAACTCGTTCAACCGCAGCCGCTTATGCTGCCACCAACGCGACTGGTGTTGTAGCGAACCGAGCGAATAACTATGAAACGCTAGAAGCGCATTGCCCGCACATGTGGTTTGGTCGTGGTTAACTTGGTTGCTTTGGTTTACGGCCCGGCCACTGGCCAGCGCCCTGACGTCTGAACGTGTGCGCTCTCAAAACGAGTCCGGTAATTTTGAAACGAACATATAAATAAAATGAAAGCAGAGCGATCGTCCTTTCATTTGAAACCCTATGGCAACATTCCTCTTATATAAGGGGAAATTTTAAGTTAACTTTGTTTACTTGTTTTGTTTCCTGAATTGATGCACGGTAGACGCGGACGGATTAGGGATTACTGCGCGGATGTTCAACATGGCCGAAATGGACTCTTAGCATCTTATGATGTTCGGAAAAATCATTCATTATTCCTTCTTACTGATCTTACCCGTGAGTGATGTGTTTGTGGAAGGTACGTACCGAGGGTTCTTCTCGGAAGTTCGCTCTCTCTTAGAGCACGGTTTGACGGACTAATAGTGGATCGGACGAATGCGAGATTCGCTTTCTGTTTAGCGAGCTGTCAAATGCCCCTGCTGTGTTTTCAATGATTCCGACGTGAGAAGTGTCACCTCGCGTTGTATTCACATAATCAGAGTGGCGATGCAATGTCAAACCTGTTGTGTGTAACGGACGCGATCGATGGCTATGCTCTAACGATGCGTCATGAATACGCTGCGGCACCTAACTCATTTAGGCGAGGATGCGAAGGGATTCCCGAGGTAAGTCAGGGATGCATTAGATGTGTTCTTTCGTATAGTAGCGAGCGAAACTTAATACTGCAGCATTTACCCCGCTGCGAAGATTACCTGACAAGCTGAACTTATTTCTTGTTCGCGCTTCAAGCGCTTAGTTCGTGTGAGCAAGGAGAGCAGTGCATGCTACTGATTACATAACGCCAGAGGCGATCGGAGTGGTGCGATCGCTCAGATTATCTTCCGCTGGTGTCATGTCGCGCTGGTGAGCTTTGACTGTTTATAGAACTTTATGAAAATATACATCGCTATTGTGAGTGAAAAAAAAAAACATGACGGTGAGCTCATTCCGGAAAAGGTTGTTGCTGCTAACCTGGCGTTCAAATTTTTTTCGAAAAAAACAAGTTGCCGCGCAGTTTAACCAGTGAGCACATATTGTGGCCCAGATAGCCTGTCTCGTTTATGCGATTTTTTTGTTTTGAACAGGCAAACTCTTAACAAAGCCTCAAAACTTGATGGTGGTAGTTGAAATGTCCTGCGATATCGAAATATTTGATGATCTAACACGTGCATTACACTGATCGCAGCTGCCTAGTCCCGCTGGTGCACTTGTTAGACGAGGAATTTCGTGTGTCTGAATTCTTATTCTTAAAACCAGATTTTTCGAAGCATTGCATGCACGATACAATGCATGTGCAACAAAAGACAAAGCCAGAATGCAAGAAGTTTTGCAAGAAATGCATTTGGTTTGCTATGCTACACTTTGGGAAAAAGGGGAGTAGAAAGGTTTAAAGGGAAGGATGGAAAGATCCAGGGAAATGGACAATAAATTTATTGACACATGTGGCATCGCCCCACTAGTCGTTTGCTCAAGCCGGTAGTCCCCATCAAGCTCAAATGTGCATTCACTACCATGTGGACCAATGAGCGATCTGGATTGTGTCCTAGCAACATCTGCATGAAAAGCATTTGCTCGTCCAGTCGTCGCAAATGCATTAGTGCTTGCCTTCCTCAAGCAAATAAAGCGCAGGGGCATAGCAAATGTTCTATGCTTTATTCAGGACCGCAAAGATTGCATGTTGCACTTATGGCCTAAAGCAGTGCAGCAGATTTTCACTTACCGTGCACATTTTTGGCCACCATTTGTCCAAGTAAGCAAGAAAGTAAAAATGTTTCCTCATATCTGGCCACGCGCAGCGTAACACAGATTGAAGACATGTCTCAGTACTGTCACGATCATGATTCTGAGTTATCTGGCGCGCACAATACGGGCCTGTGTGCACTTGACTCGATTCAATCATGCAAATTAGGCCTTCGAAAATGTGCTGCATATGTGTTGCACAGGATCAAATTGAACTGCACATTGTTGTAGGGAAATCTGCTCTGTGTTTTTTTTTTTTTTTTCCTGGGGATGCATTGCGCATACTTGCAAAAAGTAGCGTGTGCCTACCATGTCAGTCTGAACATACTCTGTCTTTTATTTTTTCACACCGTTTTATGAACTCGGCGCCTACTTGTAGAAAGTCGCTGTACTGGTCCACTTTTTTTTTACCTTTTACCTCCTACTTATACACTTAATTTAAAAAAAAAATTGCTAACTCCTTCGTGAACTTCCAGAACTTGCGTGTTGGCTTTGAAAAAATGTCCTATCCCCCCCATATGTGGCAGTACGTCTAGGCTGGAAAGTATTGGTCGCTGCACATTGTGTAGTACGTGACTACGTCTCAACTAAAGAAATCCCTTCATTTCTTAACAATTCCTTTGTCGAGGAACGGTTTAGTGCTAGGATTTTGTTGCTTGACTCTTTGCTCTTGTGGGCTAACTTATCTACTGCCAGCTCTTAGCGTCGGAGGGGCTATTCCCCTTCCCCTGTGATGGAACCTTAAGAGGTGCTCGTTCTTTCTGCCTCAAACGCCCCTTGCTGGAAGGCCAAGTCAAATCCATGTACTACCATGTACTACATCCATGTACTACATCCATTACCTTTGTGCTTCCTCAAAGGCCATACCTCCAGCTCGTGCAAACTAGCCCAAGGTTTCAGAGTGGTGTGTTTTGTGGGAAGTTAGTGGCTGAAGCATAGTACCAACTGTGCACTCGTTCACTTCTGAGAACTAGGACTTACTGCATGACCAAGTTAGTCACAAAACAATTGTCTTGGCTCAGTCGCTCACTGCCTGATTTTTCAGTTGCAAACCTGCGAACCAATCAGATGCGCTGGAGCAGGACATTCGTATATGTTGCAGGACGATAGCAATCTGAGTTGACATGAATTGTGCTTGTTGAGAGGCCAAAGTCATGCTCTGTTGTGAATGTTAGTAGTGTCGAGCCAATTTTGGTCGCCGGTCGCAAATGGTCATGTGAATGGTGCTAGCTGCTTGGTGAATCAGCCTTAAAGGGACACTAAAGAGCTACACGCTTTCTCGCGTATCAGCAAAGTACAATTCCACAATCCCGAAAACACCACTCTTACCGCGACGCAACACTTGGTGAGCTAGAAAACGTGTGAAAAGAAAATGCGGGTGGAGACACCACCTTGAATGCCCCGCACCAAACACTCTGATGTCATCAAAATTTGAAGGCGTCAACTGGGTCCTACGTAGCTTCTAATAGATAAAATTGAAGTAAATTGTAATCTGTGGGTGCCATAGCACACGAAGTCTCAGAAAATTTCGTCGAGCCAATGTTGCGAAAATACGAAAAATACATTGTGGAATTCCATACGTCATGCGCGGAGATTATGGCGCGAAACTTAAATGTGAAACTTCAACCTTGATTTTCTCCACTAGTAATGAACTTATGACAGTGAAACTTTTCACATTAGAGCTCTCAAATTGCAGTTTGTCAATCTAAAAGAACTTATTGTTTCTCTCTAGTGTCCCTTTAAGTACCAGTGCTTCTCTTTATTTTCTGGACTCGAGGTAGAACGCTTAAAAACAACGAGGCACCGATTGTCCTTTGTTCTTGCTGTTCGCTGCCCGTCATTCTCGCTCTGTCTTTTTCCCACAGCGTCACACCGCCACTCTGCCACAGGGCTGCCTAGCGTTGTTGAAGGGGACCTAGGCTCGCATCTCACGCTGCAGTGCAACGTCAGCAGGCCGCACCACCAATCTCAGCGCTTTGTCTGGCTCAAGGACGGCCGAGGTCTGGGCCCTGAACTCAGCTGGACGGAGTACAAGTACCGCGGTGACCTGGTGTCATCGGGGCTCCTGCTGAGCGACGCCGGGAACTACTCGTGCTACCTTGACACGCCGCATCAGCACAGCAGCGCTCAGCTTATTGTTCGTGGTGAGTTGGTACAGGATGCTTTATCTCTGCAAGAGCTGTCCGGAAAGGCCACGCTAATATCTTCAGATCCTTTGCTCCCTACAAAACGTTTATTTGGTGGAAATTGGTAGTTGGGAGAACTGAAACCGTAGCCTTCCCTACAATATTTACTTGAGCGAACTGTGGCAACGGGATAGTTCCGCGATCGTGAGAATGATGAGTAGTACATGGACTTGCCAAGTCTTCGTGCTTGCGACTTCAAATGCACTTGTGGCTTTGGTTATTATTGTCTTTTAGCTTTTCTTTCAAATAAAAGAATAGTCGTTGAGAACCTCGTGAGCCGAAGTACATTGGTGAGCCCTACGGAGCCAAAGGAAGAAAGCTTTGGCAAGTCCATGTTCTATCCATCGTTTCTGACTGAAGCATCGTGTGTTTGAGGTCTCATAGACACTATCGCTGGATTTCTGTCTAGTGTATCATTATGAAACTCGGACTAAAACAAACAGTGTGGCCTCGCCACATTCATCATTGCAAGAAAACAGCATGACATGAGTATGAGGATGTAAAAAAAGAATAATGATAAAGGTGACACCTATCAATTTCTTTCTTCAGCTGTAATACTTCTTCTGCTTCTCTAGTCAGTATGAACTTGCAAGGCGTGTCTTGGCGTGGTATTTCTGAGCGATCACTTTCTGGGATGTAATTATGTGCGATGTGGCTTCTTGCTTCTCGGCCCTGGACATATGCGAATCATCTGCCATTTCAAGCACTTTATCAATCTAACTAGTATCTCTGCACAATGGCAACAATGCTGGTGGCATATACCTCAGGGCATCTGGTACGGAATTGCATGAAATCTGAAAATTTATTGCTGGACAGTACCATCCCAGAAAACAGCTCTGAATGATTGCTAAACCTACCTAAATCATTGGAAAAGGAGACATTGGTTGCTTCTCACACAGGGCTTATGCTACACAAAGCCCAGCTTTCTGCATATCAACTACCTCTGTTTTGATATTTTTATAGCATAGCATAGTTTAACATAGCAGCACCATATGTGTGCGCCACCAGTGGCTGTAAGAAGGATTCCACTGATGATTGTACTGTATGTGTATCATTGTACTGTATGTGTGAAATACATCCAGTTCTGAAGCTACAGTGGCCTGCATGCAGGTTCAGGGATAAGATTTTTTATTTTTTCAAAGCCTGCAAGCAAGGTCAGGGAAGGCAATGAAAATTAACTGCTTTTTCTAATAACCCTGTCACACGGCACGTGTAATGTCCTTCTCGGCGAATGACATTGAAAACAAATTCCATTGTGACCTTCCATTTCAGGTCTACACGGCTACATGAAATGACATTCGAAATTGATGTCAATGTTTATAGACAGGCTGCTATGTTACCAAAAAGTTACAAATCACACATTTAATTTACATAACATCGCATAACATTGTCTGGCCGTAATGTCAACTGCGCTGTGCTACACAGCACAATCATTAACAGCTACACATTTGTTGCATGCGTGCTACCTGCATGGCACTTTTTGTACTTTTCATGGTATCGAGCTGTTTTTAACCGACTGTGCAGTTGTGCCATTATTTGTCACATTTTCTTCCTAGCTCCACCGGGGCGTCTGTCAAACGTAACAGTCCATCCTTCGACAGTAGTAGCCACCGTAAGGTGGCACGTCAGTAGTGACGGGGGCTGCCCCATTTCCCATTTCACCTTGGCCTACCAGCCCACGCAGCAGCCACCAGCCAATAGCTCAGCCGCAGCCCACCACTACCTGCCCGTACACATCAGTCCGGCTGCGGTGAGTAACAGAGGCGCGAATGAACCCTCCTTGCAAAAGAGTAATCAGAAAATCCGTGAAGGACGGGCGAATAGTAAATTTGAGGCTCGAAGTGAAGAATGATTTGGCTGAATAATTCTTAATCGAATGGTCCGAATAGAATATTGCTACAAGGCAATGTGTGTGAGCCCGCCTATTATGAAGAAAAATTTGTATCTCGGTCATGACCCACCTAACTTTCACAATATCTTTAAAGATTGGAATTACTGTAAAATCCCAAGCAAGCGGTAAATTTGACAAAACTTGTAGGGGCGGCCCATGCTCTTTCGTGGATGACAGTTCATGGTGGCAGCAAAAGAGCTGCTAAGAGTAAAGGATGCACATTCTTCCTTCTAATGAACTGCTTTATTGAATACGCATGCGTTCAGTGTTTTCATTTGCCCTTGTCAGGCAAATAAAAACAGTGACAACAGTGGCAGAGGAAAAAAGGCCAAATATTTGAAATTCGATGAAGGAAGAGGGTCGCTTGTTCGAGTTAACGGCAGGCGTGCGCAAATGTTATTTTTTTGGTTCAAAGTAAAGTGGGAACAGCTTTAGGAGCAAGATTTGAATAGCAGTAGGGTGCGAGCCTGAAATGGTAAAATACGTCGCATTATAAGTTGCTACACTTTACACATATATCCTGGTATTTTAAAGTTTAAAAATAATCGCTCGATGTGGTGATAATATGTACTTTTATCCTCGAAATGTAGTTTTGCAGAAGTGCAAAACTTCTTTAGATCGGTTGTTTCACGGCATAGCGCCTCCATAATGCAGTGAAACCACCTTTACAGAAGGGGTTAAATGCAGTCAAACATAACTCGATTTCTTCATATTGAATTATTTAAACCTGTGTCGTAATAAATTCAAACTTGTATTTGTAGGATTATTAAAAGCACTGAAATCTTTGCCCATGGCTCGCTTTCAATTTTGGCGCATCTGTGGCTGTGAAACAGTGAGCCACCATTTCCAGGTCTACCTCAAATCATAGACTCTATTACGCACTGATGTCTGCACAGAGGAGCTTGAATGTGTTGGACTTGACGAGGGCTTACAAACTGTTGTTTGAAAGATTGTACAATCAGTAAATTCACTTATAGTTATTTTGTGTAACCTAATCATTTGTACAGTAACAGTGATACCATGCAAATATTGTTTTGACTTGACCTTGTGTTTAGCTTAGTGAGTCAAAACATTTCATCCATTGTTTCGCAGCTGCTTGTGCACTGCTACAAGTTCACACTTTAGCCCACGAAAAACATGGTCTGTAAACTGTTGTGAAATGATTAGCAATGCAATCTCAGCAGTATTCTTTGAAACGTGTGGTCCAGCTTAATACTGTATATCAAGCTGATTCCTTTTCTTGGTGCGAGTTCGGTGTATGCCGGCTCGTCTGTGCAGCGTTTGTTCACTGTTGATGTTATGTCTATGTTCATAATCGCCTGTGCAGAGGCAGTTCTTCGTATACCACCTGGAGCCGGGCACTCCATACATGTTCCGCATGTGGGCTTCTAACCGCTTGGGTCCAGGAGAGGCCACAACGGTGTATGCCTCCACATCTAAGCCGCTTGACCCCGCAGGTATAGTTCAGTGCTCATGAGAAGTAACCTTAACGGGGATGGAAAATTGCATCTTAATAGCACCGACATGTCAAGGAAGTTCAAGGGCACGTAGGGCTTTGAAGTGATGAGAAATTATCTAATTAGGAAAGTCTCCGTGCTTTGTTAGGGAGACTTGTCAGCTCCATCCACATTCATTGTTCGATTATTTAACACTTGCAGAGCACTAAAAACTTGTGCTCTCTCTATGCGGCATTGGCTCTGCAAGGTTCATGTCACTGCTGACAAGCCAATATTGCAACAGTCATGAACATGTAACAACTTGAAAGCAGGAGCATGTGCGAAAGCATGATAATAATGACAAAAGGATCATAGAGCGAGAGAAAAGTGGGTTGATGATGACACTACACGCAGAGCACATCATCAGTGGTGTACTTGGTCTTGATTGAATGCCTTGCGTCTATCCTTTCCCCCTGGTTAAACAGAAGTTGTGCAGAAGATGTTTGCTGGTGGGGACGACTTCAGCACGGCGGCATGGATGGTGGCCGTCTCAATGGTCATGGGCACTATCCTGATTCTGTCCTGCCTCAGCTGCCTGCTCATTTACAAGGAAGGCCGACACGGTGCGCCCATTTGTACCGCCTCTTCATCCTAACTATCTCTCTCATTTTTTTTAATTGTCATAGAGTGACTTCACTGTTTAACTCTGTTGAATCTCGTGCCACAATAGTTGGTCTAATTTGTCAAGTTTGCACGAACTTATCACACAACACGAGTACTGCTATTTCATCTGCATAAGCTCGCAAGAAGCTACGTAGGTTAAAAAAATTTTGGTTTGCGCATTGACAAGTGTTTTGTGTTTTCACTTTGTGTTTTCTGACCATGTTCAGAAAGTGTTGCAGAGCTCCATTGAAAGCTCACATGCTACTAAGTGAGAAGTGTTGCTCACACAGTCATGAGTAGGGCTACCGGATTCAGCTAACTGTTTGGTCTTTCGAGTCACGACTTTCAGCTTTGATGCAAACTTTCTTACTGCTCGGGGAAAATTGAAATTGCCTCCAAATTGTTCCATCTCACACTACCAACTGCTAACATCCAAGTAACCTGTTATGTGGAGCAACTTACTTGGAAAATCGGCTATGGATGACTTGATTCCTAAACAAATTCAGGATTGTTCTTCATTTGTACATGTAGTTTTTTTTTTTTTTCAGAGGGCACTCAGTTGCATCCCATTTTCGATGGTAGTAACCTAGAGTGGCGCATGTGCCCATTTTTACCTTATAAGATTCTTACAGAGTTTTACAGAACTTATCTGAGCGAATCTATTACACTGCTGGCAATGGTATTTCTTAATGCACTGCATGTGAACTATTATTACTACGTTGATCCTTACTATTGAACTTCAGTGCATCCTTTAAATTTCAAGAGTTAAGGGGGAAGGTGGCATTGAAAAAAAATACTTTTTTATTTGTTTACTTACAGCAATGAAATTTGGCATGCATACTCATAAGTGTCTCGAATAGGGAAATATGCAGTTTCATCATGATACCTTCAGTAGTTCTCAAGTTACATAATGCTACATGGTCCAATTACATGGTCTGCTCGTGGAAAGTCTAGCGCTGTAACAAAACATGCCAGGAAGCTGCGAATGGTGTTGATCTTTACTCAAAAGAAAGCTACAGGGTATGGCACTCTCAGAATTCTTTAATAAGTTCTCTTTTTTTTAGAGATCGTCATGGCTTCCGACACACATTGTCAGAAACAGTGGCATGGACAAATCATCGTCTAGAAAAAAAAACAAAAACAGGGCCATAAAACAGAAATTGAAGATTGCTGTACCCACAAACAGTGTTCAGGGATTCAGGAAAAAAAAACAGAATCAAAATTGGTCCAGTCATCCCCGTGCTACTCTTTTCACGAGCAATGCACAATGTCCAAAACACAGTTGTGAGAAAAGGCCTATCGAAGTTTTTGACAGGTTTTTTTCGATAAACTTTCTTCTTTCTCATTGGATATCGATGAAAATTGGCACAGACACTAAGGATGACCTCATAGTGCTTCCATAAAAATTTTGAAGCAAACCACTAATACTTTACGAGAGACAAGTTATTTCTTCATTAAACCATGTGGAGGGGCTGAGCATAATGTCAAAAAAACAGTATTGAGAAAGCTGCGTTTAAAGTTTCAACTTTTCTTTACGTCTCTAAGACACCTAAAAATTGTGATCTCAGGTTTGTCTTGTGATATTTGACTTCTTTTCATGATTTACTCCTTTTCATGATTTACAAAGAACTAGTATGGATTTCAAACCAAGGTCTTTGTATGAAGGAGTGGTGTGATAGGTATGACAGAAAAGATTGTAATTGAATAAAACCATATACGGAAATTACTACACATATTTTTTTGTGCTGAAATTGTAATTAGCATAATTAAGTACTTGATTACAAATATTCACTGAACTTTTCTTTATTTAGAAAGACGTTTATTGCATCAGAAAAATGGATCACACCATGACGGCCTATGCCTTCTTTCCAAATAACAAAGTTATAGGCAGAAGATTGGTGGCACGGGAATTTTTAGCAGTGTAATTAATGACGCGAAACGGGCATATAAAAACTCGTGCCCCTGATTCATACACGCTCTTTTGCCGCTCTAGCCGTGAAACGCATCATCATACAGCCGGTTGCGGAAACTCTAATCTACAGCAATTCATTAACCTCGGAACATTCATAGACGTTCGTGGCGATATCAATCACGGCTCCAAGCACGTCTGAATCGCATCACAAAAGCTTATTGACAGCACTCCATATGACCGTGTGGTGCACGGCCGCATGGACAGTGCAGCCGGCGTGTAATGCACTTGCCGGCGGCGTTCGGTGACGATGCGCGAAATGTGTAACTACGATGACAAAAAATCGGCGTGCACTGCGCTTGGCATCGCATTTTCGAATGACGACGCGCAAAACTGCTAGCCGCTGTTCCGAGAAATCCTTGGTAGTGAGGGGGGGGGTGACGAGCTTGACTGTATTGTCCGCTGCCGATGCGTAAAATGCCCTTGCGTGATTCAGAGGAGCTAGCGAGTGATGTGCTACATTCCTTGTGAAGAAGCACGTCGCCAAGAGTGCGCTTGCACGTCGTTCCTACCCGCAGTCTCGCTGTCAGTGCAGTTAGGGCTAAAGCTGACTCCGATGAAGCGCCGTGCTCGTAGACCGCGCACCCGCTCGTAGTAACCTGATCGCGCATCTGCTTACTGCTCGTAACTAAAGCGTAATTATATCTTAAGTGATCATCAAGCCGTGAACACATCACGAAGTAGCAATTTTCGAGAGCCACGTCCTCGCGACGCACAAGCAGCAGACGACGATCTCCCGGAGCGAGCATCGGGCCAATGGCGAGGCGAGCTGAGGTAACATGGCGGCCACGGCCAATTAAGGGCCTCAAAACAAACTTCAAACATTTGCTTTTTGTGCGCTTGTTGTTAAAGGGAGGAGCCAGCTGAGGTGGGAAAGTTAAACATGGAGAAATGCTCTTTCCGATGAGCCCAAAAAGCCGGCTCCCGGCCCAAGCATCGCGAAGCTATAATTTTTTTAAAATTGCTGTTTTCTCGCCATTTGCAGAAAAAGTTTTGCTACCTAGGTGGGTGAAACGAATTTTCCGAAGCACATCTGCGCGGTTTTCAGTGTAGATATTTTGGAATCAGATAGAAAAAGGGTTCCCGAAACTGAAAACTTGAGGTTCAAAAAATCGATTTTTTTGCCATTTTTCGCGATCCCAAAGCCGCGTCCCCCTTAACTTAGACAAGTATACTTGGTGAAATGAAGCGTTATAGACGGGACAAGAAAAAGAGAGACAGGACCAAGCGCTACTGGGAACTGTGAACATTTATTGAAAAACATCGCCTCAACTAGACAATATGTGCATGAGCACAAGACGATTTTGATGTTCAGCGGCACAAAACAACAGAGCCAGGCATGAGAAACATCCCCGTGACACCACTAACACATAGAAAATGAATTCACAAGAATGACTGAATGACTGAACGAGGAAATTGAATCGGGTACTACAGTGACACTTCAGGAAGATGATATAAATATTAACCGAGAAGGTATTTTCAATCAACTACTTCTTTTAAATTAAATACCAAAACGTCATGTGGACCTGACGGTATATCGAATCAATTTTTGCGACGATCTGCAGAGTGGCTGTCGTACTACCTAGTGATTATTTTCGAGAAATCTTTAAAATGCCACTCGTTACCTCAAGATTGGCGTAGAGCAATTGTTGTCCCAATTTTTAAAGGTGGTGATAGAACGACATTGAACAATTATAAGCCTGTCTCACTCACGTCGGTATGTTGTAAAATATTTGAACATATAGTGGCAAAAAATATTCGGCAATTTTTGGAACAAAATGATTATTATGCCCCTTTCAGCATGGATTTCGCGGTGACCTTTCAACAGTCACACAACTGGTTGAAACTATACATGACTTGTGTATAGCTGTAGATGCCTGTATGCAAATCGATGTTATATGTATCGATTTTTCAAAGGCGTTCGACAGAGTTTCACACCGTAAGCTGCTATTCAAGCTTCGCAATGTCAGTATTAGTGAGAATGTCCTCAGTCGGATCAGAGCTTATCTAAGCAATCGACAACAAGCAGTTAGAGTGGGAGATGCTATGTCGGGAAATCGGGAGGTGTATTCGGGAGTGCCTCAAGGATCTGTATTGGGGCCCCTACTCTTTCTTTTCTACATAGATGATATACCATCAGTTGTCCAACCACCAGTAAAAATTAAGCTATTTGCAGATGACTGCCTAATCTATTGTCCGGTATCATGCAGCAAAGATCAAGTGAATATCAATCGGTGCTTACAAACCCTAAACTTATGGTGTTCTAAATGGGGTATGGAAATTAACATTAAAAAATCCACTTACACACACATTACAAAAAAGAAGGAAGTGCTTTCGTTTGCATATAACATTGGTGATAATATGCTGGTGAAAGTCTGTAATTTTAAATACTTGGGTGTAACTATAACAGATAAGTTGAGCTGGCGTCCTCATGTCGATAACATATGTCAGTCAGCATGTCAAAAATTGTGCTTCCTACGAAGGAAGTTAGGCCGAGCCACAAAAGATGTCAAGCTGCTTGCCTACAAAACGTATGTGCGTCCGAGATTAGAATACGCTAGCGCTGTGTGGAGCCCACACCAAAAGGTCTTAAAAAATAAATTAGAACGCATTCAGAGAATGTCAGCTCGCTTTATCTGCTCTAAATATCGAAGAAAGGATTCTGTTACTGAAATTTTAAAAGAATGTAAATTAGAATCGCTAGAATTAAGAAGAACATCTTTTTCAGATCCTGCATGCCGGGGTGAAAATAAACAGGGATGATTATTTGAAGCATTCTTACAAAAGGTTTCCAAGAACAATATCCACTACATTCATGCAACCAATACATGCTCGAACAGATATCTTCCGATTTTCCTTCTTTCCTGATGCTATTAATATGTGGAATGAATTACCGAACGATATGGTGCAAATAAGAACTTTGAGTGATTTCGAGGTTGCCCTTGATAGGCATTTTGTTGAGAATGTATAGTTATCAGTGTTCATGTATGT